AGTCAATAGACGATTTTCTTAGTTAACTTGGGGATTGTTAAGCTGGTGATATTAAATACATGGATTTGAATTTCCCTGATTAATTCGGGATGTCATAAACGTTGTACTCTGGGATGTTCATGACGTTGATGTACAGGGAGCATCACCAATTATAGGCAATTCACCATATAGGATGAGTCCAACTAAGCATAAGGCATTGAGAGAAGAGCGTTGAATTTTCTGTTATCTCACGGACTTTATTGATCGCAGATAAAGTCCAAGGGCATCTACCTGTATTTTTGTTGCCTAAACCTGATCGGTTAGTTTCAGGATGTGCACTGATTACAGGAAAGTGAACTCTGTCACCTTGCCTGATGGTTAATACTCTACCTGCATTGACGACCTTCTTGACCGTGTGTCAGGAGCCAGTTTTGCAGCCGTTTACGATCGCTTAAGAGGCTTTTATCAGTACCCGCTACTGATGTGCTCAAGAATTAGCTGCTTTTACTGCTTAAGATGGATTGGTTTAATACCTCGTCACCCCTTGGCCTATGTAACGCAGCTTCTTCTTTACAGGTGTATAATGAACAGTTGACCCACAACTTAGAAGAGTAGAAGCCTACCTTGACGGACTTAGTGGTGTATAGTACGAGTGGGAACTGCACCTGACGGTATCAGAGCATTGTTTGAGGGAGACTGGCGCACTACTACTTCACTGTTTAACTTTAGTAAATGTAGTTTTGCGTCATCAAAGCCAAGATTACCTATCTAGGCTTTGTATCGGCCAAGGTGATTGTTGCTCCTATTGAGGCTTTAAGGTTCGTGCATTTATGAATTTCTCCAGTGCCACACGGATAGGATAAGGAGTTACAGAGATTCCTGGGTATGGCAGGATTTTTATCGCAGGTTTGTCCCAAATTTTCTCGATGCAGCTCCTTCATCACTGAGATTAATAGTAGCCAAAGTCAGTTCCCCTGGACTAGAGATTGTTCAGACTCGTTCAAAAGGTTTGAAGCGCTTGCTATCTCCGCTCCTGTGCTGGAAGAGTCATAATTTCAATCTTCCCTTCTTTTTACATATAGATGCGAGTAGTTATTTGCAGTGGGTGCTGTGCTGCTCCATCTGTCATCATCCACTGACATTCTCCTTCCTATATGTTACTATTCATCTAAGCTTTTAGAATCGCGTTTTTTGTAACAGTAGAGAACAGAGCAAGACGTCTCATCTCTCACCTGGACCCATCCTGGATAGATCTGTCATTTCAGCAGTGCCTTCAACACAGAAGGGATGTGGGTGGCCTTACTGTTATGTACAAGGCCAATATTGTCAAAGTACCACACGTGGATCCACTTTGGGACAGCAGTGAAACAAGCTTTATGCAAATGACGGGGGAGAGGAGAAAGCAGCAACTTCATCTGGCTGTACCCCATTCTCCAGATCATCACTCCATCTGAGGATTCATATATCCCAGGATGACTCAAGTATGAAACACATTCGTACAGCAGATGTTGTCAAAAGAGGTAGTCAGTGATCAATGAAAATGCTGTGCCCACAGATGGCTCCCAATTTCTTCCTGGTTTCCCTACTTGTATGTCTGCGATTAACAATAAAATTGCTTTCAAATGAGTGATGTAGGTAACAGCTCTTAACTTTTGCCAATTAAGTTAGGAATCCTTAACATGTAATAGCTTGTCATTAGAGCCTAGGGATCCTTAAACTTGTCAAACCCTGTTGTAAAAAATAAAAAAACAGACAGGACACATGCACACACACACAGCACACCACACAGACACCACACACACACACAGACACACACAGAACAAACAGACAACACAGACACACAACAGACAGGACAACACACACAACACACACCACACACACACACACACAACACACACCACACACACACACACACACACAACACGAAAAGGAGAAAGGCGTTCTACATAGTAGCTCACTTCAGTTTGGTGGAGCACAAGGTGGTTCACTTGCAAGTGTTGTATAATCCACCACAAACTGAGGAGGCCAAGAGAGAATATGAGAGGCAACCAGAGCAATGGTGACACCACTTGATGTGGTGGCAAGAGAGCTCACTACAGAAGAGCAGTTGCTGGTTATAGGGGATTTCAACCACAGGGAGATTGACTGGGAAAACCTGGAGCCACATGGAGAGCCAAGATGTTGGATGTAGTGCTGGAAAACCTCATGCACCAACATGTTAAGGACACTACCAGAGTGAGAGGGGAGGATGAACCAGCAAGATTGGACCTTGTGTTCACCCTGGGCAGTTCAGACATTGAGGACATCACATATGAGAGTCCCCTAGGAGCTAGTGACCACATGGTTCTGTGCTTTGAATACATAGTAGAGTTGCAAGTGGAGAGAGTAACAGGAGTTGAATGGGAAAAGCCCGACTATAAAAGAGGGGACTACATAGGGTTGAGGAACTTCCTGCAGGAGGTTCCGTGGGACAGAGAACTGGCAGGAAAGCCAGTAAATGAAATGATGGAATATGTAACAACAAAATGCAAGGAGGCAGTGGAAAGGTTTATTCTCAAGGGCAACAGAAACAATGGGAAGACCAGAACGAGCCCCTGGTTTACCTGATGGTGTAAGGAGGCAAAAACAAAGTGCAATAGAGAATGGAAAAAGTACAGAAGACAGAGAACACATGAAAATAGGGAGATCAGTCGCAGAGCCAGGAACGAGTATGCACAGGTAAGGAGGGAATCCCAGCGACAGTATGAAAATAACATAGCATCGAAAATCAAGACTGACCCGAAACTGTTGTATAGCCACATCAGGAGGAAGACAACAGTCAAAGACCAGGTGATGAGACTGAGGACAGAAGGTGGAGAACTCACAAGAAATGATCAGGAGGTATGTGAGGAGCTAAGCAGGTGATTTAAGGAAGTTTTTGCAGTAGAGACAGGAAGGGCTCTGGGAAGACAGCACAGAAGGGAACATCAAGAGGGAATACACCAACAAGTGTTGGATGACATACAAACAACTGAGGAGGAGGTGCAGAAGCTGCTAAGTGACCTTGATACCTCAAAACATCTCCCCATGGGTCCTTAGAGAAGGAGCAGAGATGCTGTGCGTGCCCCTAACCACAATCTTCAACACATCCCTTGAAACTGGGCAACTACCTGAGAAATGGAAGACAGCAAATGTAGTCCCCATATTTAAGAAAGGAAACAGAAATGAGGCTCTAAACTACAGACCTGTGTCTCTGACATGTATTGTGTGCAAAGTCATGAAGAAGATTATCAGGAGGAGAGTGGTGGAACACCTGGAACGGAGCAAGATTATAAATGAAAACCAGCATGGGTTCATGGAAGGCAAATCCTGTGTCGCAAACCTTCTGGAGTTTATGACAAGGTAACAGAAGTAAGACACGAGAGAGAGGGGTGGGTTGATTGAGTTTTCCTAGACTGCAGGAAGGCCTTTGACACAGTTCCCCACAAGAGATTAGTGCAGAAGCTGGAGGATCAGACACATATAACAGGGAGGGCACTGCAGTGGATCAGGGAATACCTGACAGGGAGGCAACAACGAGTCATGGTACGTGAAGAGGTATCACAGTGGGTGCCTGTGACGAGCGGGGTCCCACAGGGGTCAGTTCTAGGACCAGTGCTATTTTTGATATATGCGAACGACATGATGGAAGGAATAGACTCTGAAGTGTCCCTATTCGCAGATGATGTGAAGTTGATGAGAAGAATAAATCGGAATGAGGATGGGGCAGGACTGCAAAGGGGCCCTGGACAGGCTGGACATGTGGTCCAGAAACTGGCTCCTCGAATTGAACCCTGCCAAATGTAAAGTCATGAAGATTGGGGAGGGGCAAAGAAGACCGCAGACAGAGTATAGGCTAGGTGGACAAAGACAAACAGACCTCACTCAGGGAGAAAGACCTTGGGGTGACCATAACATCGAACACGTCACCGGAGGCACACATCAACCAAATAACTGCTGCAGCATACGGGCGCCTGGCAAACCTGAGAATAGCGTTCCGATACCTTAATAAGGAATTGTTCAAGACACTGTACACTGTGTATGTTAGGCCCATACTGGAGTATGCAGCACCAGTCTGGAACCCACACCTATTCAAGCACGTCAAGAAGTTAGAGAAAGTACAAAGGTTTGCAAAAAAGGCTAGCCCCCGGGAGCTCAGGGGAATGTCGTACAAGGAAAGGTTGAGGGAAATCGGACTGACAACACTGGAGGACAGAAGGGTCAGGGGAGACATGATAATGACATACAAGATACTGCAGGGAATAGACAAGGTGGACAGAGATAGGATGTTCCAGAGAGGGGACACAACCGGAAACTGAAGACTCAGACGAGTGACAGGGACGTTAGGAAGTATTTCTTCAGTCATAGAGCAGTCAGGAAGTGGAATAGCCTAGCAAGTGAAGTAGTGGAGGCAGGAACCATACATAGTTTTAAGAAGAGGTATGACAAAGCTCAGGAAGCAGAGAGGGAGAGGACCTAGTAGCGATCAGTGAAGAGGCGGGGCCAGGAGCTGAGTCTCGACCCCTGCAACCACAATTAGGTGAGTACACACACACACACACAGAGAGAGACAGACAGACAGACAGACAGACACACACACACACACACACACACACACACACACACACACACACACACACACACACACAGACAATACAAATATATAGTTTGTGCAATTATTTTGCAATACATTCAGAATAATTCCCAGGATATTGACTTTGATTGATAGCTGTATAACATGATTTTTAGAACTAAAGCTCTGAAAAGCTATTTTTAGGGACTGTTTTTATATTTAAGTGTTGTGTATTGTGCAACTCTTGTAATGTCCCATATATTTTGCAGTAATGACATAGTGAGTTGGTAAGCCCTTCCCTGAATTTTTTAATTTCTTTAGTACTACAGTTCATAGTGCTCTCTTAATTCTTAGACTGATGATTATGTACTAACAAGTGCCAATATATGAAGGGATTGTAATAATCTTTCTTGGATTATATCTATTATAGCGTGGTTTTGGGGTAATGCCCAAGAGGGGCTGCAAAGTGTCACAATGCGAGATATTCCGCTTCTACAAGCTGTATGCCACCAAGGCCATCTGTGAACCTATCTCTATGATTGTACCCAGGAAGGTGTGTATAGTACTGTATAATGTATTTACTCCTATGAAATCTCTGAATATTTAATATAGACCTTAGTAGCAATATCTTTTGTCATCTGCTTTGTGATTTAGAATAAGGAATTATAAGGTAAACAGTAACACAGAAAGTAGATATGAAGAAATGTATAGAATTTGTTGTAAACTTCATATTGTTTATTATCAAACTTAAAATTATTTTGTAGTTGCAGACATTTCAATTGTACAATAGCTATGAAGGCTTTTAGTGGTAGGACCTATAGCATAGAGCAGGCATGTGTGAGTGTGTTAGAGTGGAGACGAATGGTTTTTAGCATTGGATGAGCTGTTGGAGTGTGAGGAAAGTAACATTTATAAAGGGATCTAAGGAAGCTGGTTAGCTGGACTTTAGTCCTGGACGTTGGAAGTACAATAGACCCACGATATAACGAACCAGTGGGGGAGGGGTGTCTGTTAGATCAGTAAACAAGTGCAGTAAAGTTCTCTACTGTATACCTAATATAGTACTGTACACAGTTTATATTAGGGCCACACTTATTCTGCAGGTTAGGTTCCAAGCTACTGCCGGACAGCAGACTTCACTGGAAAGCAGAGCTCCATTTTTTCCATTTATAAATGCATATAAATACCAGATAACAAGTTTACACTAACATATATTAAGTTAGCAATAGAACTAGGCATTAAAAAGTGAAATACACACAGTACACTCATTATTTCCCTGAAAATATTTGTAGTCTTAATGTAAGGTAAAAGGTGAGCAGTATTTACTCTAAGAAGTCAGGTGTGGTAGCCCTCATGGCCACCCCACCCACACATACTATACTACGATGGTTAAAGCTCCCTAGAGCGATAAAATGCATATACAGTACACGTATTACTTACCTTGAAATATTTGTAGTCTTAATGGTCTTAATGCAGGGTGAGAGGTGAAAAGTATTTATTTGTAGAAAGTCGTGTGGGAGGTATGGCATCCTGCCGGGCCACTTATACCTACTACGACATTAAGCTCCCTAGAGCGATAAAAAGCATATATAGTACACTTATTAATTACCTTAAAATATTTGTAGTCTTAATGTAGGGCGGGAGGTGAGTTTTATTTGTATGAAGTCAGGTTGGGAAATATGGGTAGCCATGAAGGGCAGCCCTCACCACCCCACCCACACATAATGTAAACAAACGAGATGAATGCGTCTGGTTTCGTCACTTTACATTGTGTACAAGTTGTCTCCATGTTGATACAGTAGAACAAATAAAGAGAAACACTCCCATTCTCATGTAACACCATTTTTAAAAGAAATGTGACCCTGAGTGAAGGCATACGAAAGGAATAATTATCTAGTTACCCCCAGTAATATTGTAGTGACACATTTTCTCTGATGTTGGACTACAAGTTGCATGGCTACCACAAGTCCTACAAGTTGCCTGGCTACCACAAGTCTTACAAGTCGCCTGGCTACCACATCTCATATTTATGTTAATTTATTCTGCTGTGGGGTGTATTTAGATGGATTAAGCAAAATGTCTATATTAACCCTTTCAGGGTCCGTCCCGTAGATCTACGGCTGGTCGGTGAGTGTCCAAACCGTAGATCTACGCCAAAATTCTAGCGCCGTCAAATTTAGCGCGAAAGCGCTCATAGGCCTACATATGAGAGAACGGGTCTGCGCCGTGGGTGTGCGCTGTAAACAAAAAATCTAGGCGCCTGCATAGCATTGTGGGAACGCCGGCTCAGTCACCCTTGTTCACCATGTCTCGTCGCAAGTCAGCTCTCACTCCCCGGAAAATTGGGACTCTCCTCTTCCTGTCTGATAGTTCTGACACTGATGGAAGTGGAAAAAGAAGACGAATTTACGGCTTTGATAAGTTTGTGACCGAAAATAATGACCAGGATATCGATAATAGTGCAGAAAAACCCCCACGATCCTCGACCTTCTAAACCCCTGGTGTGGGCACTCGTGACTCACGGTCGGGTGTTTTCCCAAACGTAAGAGAAAACTAATATTTTCCCGTGGCCTGGCCTCTGAATTCAGTAATGACGATTTATCTGACGTGGATTGTGATTTTATTGCGCCTCGACGTCGTTCGAAATAGTGATAGTGAGGAAACATATTCACCAGTGAAGCGTCGGTATGTTCGCCGCCGCATGCGCTCGGGTAGTGTACCCTATGCTGTGCCCAGGGGACGGAGTACATCCCGTAGTACATCCCGGGTACATCCCGTGGCCCTACACCCGTTTTAGGTAGTGATAGTGAGGATGATGTGGCTACACTTGGCATGGATGGGCCACAGACATCAGTGGATTTGGGGTTAGTGGGGCTGGTGGTGGTAGTGGCACGCCATGCGTGACTCGCTGTGCCACGCGGGAACCCACGCTGCTGATCGTCAGTTCAAGGACAAAGCGGAGCGTCACCCAACCCGCCCGCCACAACCACCCCTACAACCAGCCTATGATGTCCAGTATCCACCAGCAAACCGTATCTGGGGTTGGCAGCAAAATCCCCCAATTTTGTTCCCAGCCCTCACCCCCTTGATGACTCACAAAGTGGAATTCTACCTACCTGTCCCTTGGAACCACGGCCAATGAACTGGAATTCTTTGAAATTTTTCTTTGACCAGCCATTGATGGAAACTATTGTCAGGAAAGTAACAAGTATTTCAGTACACCATGGCAAATACGATCTTATCACCACAGTCAAGACTACACAGGTGGAAAAAGACGATGTTGCAGAAATGTATTTGCTTTTTGCAACAATAATGCTTATGCCTCACGTCTATAAGCATAATATAAAAGCATACTGGGCCACAGATCGGCTAATTTGTACCCCATCCTTCATTTAAATAATACCAGTGAACAGGTTTTTTCTTACTGTTACGTATGTTGCACTTCTCTGACAAAACCAGGCCTGACAGAAGTGACAGGTTATACAAGATTAGAAAAAGTTTTCATGTATCTCAAACAAAAAGTTCAGGATATACTTTTAAACCATTCAAGAATCTTGTAATTGACGAGTCTTTGATTTTGTTCAAAGGTAGACTGTCATTCAAGCAGTATATACCGAGCAAGAGGGAAACCGCTTTGGTATAAAATTGTTTGTACTCTGTGATTGTGACAGTGGCCTGGTGTTGGATATTGTTGTATACACGGGTAGTAAAACATTGAAAGATACCAAGATGTTATTGGGTATATCAGGGGACGTAGTGAGAAACATGATGGCACCTTATCTTGGTAAGGGCCATACATTATATAACCGATAACTGGTACACAAGCCCATTACTCAGTGATTTCATGCAGTGAACAAGACAGATGTATGTGGCACAGTGCGTTCTAATCGTAAACATAATGCCCAGGCTCAACGCAGGTGTTCGTGGTGATGACGGGCAGGTGTTTACTGCCAATGACATCATGGCATTACGGTGGCATGACAAACGGATGTCACATTGTTGACAACCATTCACCGTAATGAAATGCAAGACAGTGGCCCAAAATTGATCGAGTGACTAATGAACCTATTCGAAAACCAGTGACAGTGATTGATTATACACAAAACATGCGCTTGGTTGACAAGTGTGACATGCAGATTGGTTTTGTTGACTGTGTTCTTAAGAGTTACAAGTGGTACATGAAACTTTTCTTCCATCTCATGGACATTTCAATGCTGAATGCATATAATATGTACCAAATAAAGAATGGGGAACAGACCACCGTATGGTGAATTTGTTTGTCTGTTGTCAGACAACTCATAATGAAATACCAGGTTTAAAAACACCTGCAATACAACATGGTCCCTCGAATTCATTTACAATATACCCAAGCGTTTGAGAAGAGAAGGTGATCATTTCATAATACAGCTTCCTTCAACTCAAAAGAAATTTGCTCAAAGAGATGCATTGTCTGTGCACAAACAAAACGACGGCAACAAAGACGCAAAGACACTCGGTTTATGTGTGTGAGGAATGTAAGGTGCCTCTGTGCATGGTGCCTTGTTTCAAGGAGTTTTCCCCAAGCTCCAGCAGTTCTAAAACCATGTCCAGTGATTGTAAAATGTAAAAAATATGATAGAACATTAGTATTATACAATATTTGTGCATGTTTATTGTAATAAACAACAGTGGTAAACAATAATATGATAATAACTTTAGTGCGGTTATTGTGTTCAATACAGTGAGTTTAAAATATATAAATTATATACAGTATTGGTCTCTCAAGGCCCCAAATGTTATGGAATAGAAAAAAATTGGAAAAGAAAAGAAAAAAAACTAAAACAACAAAATAATATAATACGCGTATGTGGAATTCGTCGATGTTGCCGCCACCACATCATTTTCTACAAACTTCTTGGCACTGTATCTCGGTAAGTACTGATCAGATTCTAATTTTTTTTGTTTTATTACCTTCACAAAAATATGCTCTTTAATTCTGTAAGAAAAAATAATTTTTTTTTTTTCAAAATTTCTTGGACACTGGTGCGTGACTTCAGATTTTGGCCTTGGACCCTGAAAGGGTTAAAGCAAAAATCTCCTTGTACTTGGCTTGGCAAACTGATGAATACGAGAACCAGTTATATGTTTCTCGAATCATGAAGTCCAAGTTTCTAGGTAGATACGGGGTTGCAGCATGAGATACAGCAAATTGAAGGGAATGACACACATGTCTAACTAATATCGGATGAGGAATTTCAGATTTTAATTTTGCATACACTCTATTGTTCACACTGGTCATAACAAAAGCATTATCAGTGCCTAGAAAAATTAGTTATTGTAATATTGTTGACACCGGGCATAACAGAAACATTATCAGTGCCTAGAGAAATAAGTTATTGTAGTATTGTTGACACTACATAACAGAAGCATTATCAGTGCCTAGAGCGGTAAGTTTTTGTAACTCAGATCCATTACTTTTCAAGTATTCCTTTAAAGCCTTGTATATTGCCTCAGCATAGCAGTTGCATAGTTCAGCTAGGTCTAAATAAGTAACTACAATTTGTTTCTTTCTCT